GAAGGAATAGTGATGGAAAGTCAATGATCCAGCCTCACCCTTCTACTTACCAAATAATGACATCTCTGATGTAAATATGTGTGGGATTACACTGAAAGGAGTAAGTAATTATACGGAGTGGTCAACTGTCATGCGTAATACTTCTAGAGAAAAAAGGAAAGTTATTTTCCTTGACGGGACGATCAAGATGTTCGATGATGATGATTTGGATGATTTCGATGTTAGTGGGATGGATAATGACATCCATTGACCCATCCTTACGGATGACTATTGGTTACATGTATTATGTTCATGAGTTATGGGAGGATTTCAAACTCCATTTGAGGTCGCTAACAGTGTGCGTTTTTGACAACTGGAGGATGCCATTCAATTGGCCGCCTAGGAGGATTGACGATCACCGAATACTTTGGCCGCCTAAAAACTCTTTGGGATGAATTTGTCAGGTATCGTAAAGTGCCCCGATGTGAATGTGGAGGTTGTAAGTGTGATTTAGAGAAACGATTCTTAGCTAGAGTTTTATAATGAAAAGGTACATGAATTTCTATTGGGTCTAAATGGTGCAGCGTGTGGATGACTCCAATTTAATATTCTTGGCATGCCCAAATCACCATCATTAAGCAAAGTGTATCATATGATGATACGGAAAGAACGACATAAGAACATAACGAGGATGCAAGATGTCAAGGAAGAAGTAGAGGCATTTGTCGTTCAATTTGATTAATGCATGAAGTAAAACGAGGAGAATATATATTGTTCCTTCTGTAAAAATGATGGGGATGAAAGAAACAATTGCTTCAAGTTGACTGGACAATATCTGGAGTGGTGGTTTGTTAACAAAGGAGGACGGGGACGTAGGAACCTCCTGGTTTCGTATCTAGACATGACAAATGAATGGGTTTGAGGGGAGAACATGCACATGTTGTTTTGCGTGAAGAAATTCCTGTGGATGAAAAGAAAAATAATAAAAGTGATTTTTCTAATACAACACCGACCTCCTGGTTTCCATTTCTTTCATTATAGCACCGACCTCTTTCCACTAAGAAATGCGAAAGTTTCTTTCATTGTAACGCCATCTTCTTGCTGTACATGTACACTTCGGCTCCACTCTCAAGTCTACAGTCAAGACCTGCCAAACCTACCGATATGAGTCCACTCTTAGGATCACCAACAATGGCCTTAACGAGGTAAGTCCTGGCGTGTCTTGATTAATTCCCAATTCCGCAATTGTTCATTATAAGAACATTGATGGCCAACAAATCAACCTCATGTGTAATTTCTTCCCAAATTCTGTTTTGTTTGAAAATGTATTAGCTTGAAAGCCTTCAAAGCCCTGAGAAAAAGTCATTTTAGTTATACTCTAAGATTTAATTATGTTCTGTTTTGATTCTTAATATCATCTCTCTGTTAAAAATTATCTCCATACTAATAGATCTCATTTTTTGCTGACTGTTGATACTCGATACACATATTCATATTGGTGTCACAATCAAATTTTTCGAGCACCATGTGATTGTGGATTGCAGCACAACGTAATTGATCATTACAAGTTTCTGTTTTCTTTTATCTGTACAGATCAAGCTTTTTATTGAATGTTATTTTCACAGTTATGATATCTGTAGTATTAAATATGCATAGTGAAAAAAATATGTGCGTAGTGTTACAGGTGAATCTATTTTTCTATCAAATAAGTTTGCAGTTGTTAATTAGATCAACGTGTTATTAACTTTTCATTTTACAGAGTATGACTTATCATGTGTGGTTTGCATAAATAACAATTGGAGTACTTTGTGTGTATATAAAGTGCATATATATAAACCTTGAGGCAAGTGATTATATATTATATACTGTATATATGTTAATATGAATGTGACTACTTTCACATGCAATTTTATCTATGGAATGAAACCCATAATTGATTACATATAAGGAAATCACTAATCAGAATAGAATTATAGGAGTACAAAAATAAGGAAACCTTTAAATTCATCAAGGAGTTGGTGCAGGTGTGTCTATTTGAAAATATTTTACTTGGCATTTCATATTCAATAATGAAAATATCTAAGAGTACGTTTGTTTAAATGTCCTATGGAATCACGTCAATCACAATTTGGATATTATTACTATTTCGTGTTCTGCAGCAGGGGTAGAACTAGATAGGTATGGAAATATTGGATTATACTCACTTATGAATTGAATTCAATCAGCTCTCAAGGTAAGAATTGTGGGCGGAAGCGCTACTCTTGACATACTACCTTCTATGTAAATAAATACATATGCTATTGTGAGCAATATACCTTTCAAAACTACATTTATGTGCTAGGGAGTTTTCATAGAAAATTGGCATGTCGATGGCTTCAAAATGTTGGCACCGTAAATCTCCTTCATTGGAAAGTATAGAGCCTATTTTCTGTCAATGTGAGCTGGCTAGAATAATTTGGAAGCAGTCCACTAAATTCTTTAACAAGAAAAAAGAATTTGTTTATGTTAATTACTATCCTCATATGTACTTGGGTTTTTATGATGAAAAACAAATCGAAAGTTAAATTTCATATGATGAATTTTTAAAATCTCATAAATACTCAATTTCATGCAAAAATCAAAGTTATTAGAACTGATAATGGTACTGAAGGTATGTTTCCATCTTTTTACACTACTCATGGGATTATTCATCAATTCTCTTGCGTTGAAACTGCTCAACAAAATGCTAGGGTTGGAATCATTTATCAGGAGAATGACATGATATCCACAATGAGTGCAAATGATAGAGGAATTCTTTTTGTAATTAGAATTTTTGACTTGGAAAGCAGCGAAATCAGCATTGGATGGATCATAAGTGGTTGAATTATCAGAAGGAAAAGGAACAAAATTAAGTGGACGTTAAAGTGTTCTTTGAGATTCTTGTTGGAGAAAGAAAGAATAGGCAACAAAGAGGATGGGAAAAGGAGTTTGAAGAAGAATTTGACTCCTCAAATTAGAGCAAGATTCATTTAAACCAACAAGAAACTTTTGAAGAGATTCTTTGTCAAGGAACTCTTGATATTTTTCATGAACTTTATAAGTGCAAGACCACAAGAACAGGATTGAAGCGCTTTGAAGTTAACATATTCACCCCAAAGGCCCTTGAACATATTGTAATAAGCCGTAATAGTTTGAGTTCCCTGAGATATATTTCCTAGGTTTTTTTCAAGGTAAAAGACTCTACGATCATCACTTTTTCCATATCTAAGTTGTATTTCGTCCCAAAGTTCGTTAGCAATAGTGAAATATAAGAAAGTGGAACGAATTTCAGGGGCAATGGATTAAATCAGCCAAGAAAGAAGAAGAGCGTTTATATGATACCTGACTGAATATGAACAAGCATCATCTTGACTTGGTTGCTTGATGGATCCATCCAGAAAGGCCATTATGTTCTTCACAGTGAAAGCCATAGTGACCGATTTCTTCCAAGCGTTGAAATTATCTCCATTCATCGTCTCATAGATAAGGCGAAGACCAACGTGATCACTCGGATGCAGGCAGTAAGGAGGTGAGGGATCCTCAATAGGATTAAGAGGAAGTAGATGAGTCTGATTCATCGTAATGAATTTTATGCAGAGTTAGGGTTTCTGAATCAATTGAATTCAGACAAGAAAAAAGAAATTTGATTATAGAAATCGAAGAAGATGATCAAATTTAGGAAGATGATGAACGATCGAATCCTAATCTAATACCATGTTAACGTTTGAGCACAAGAATTGAAGAAGATGATATGTTCGTATTATTCAGAGCTGATGAGCGGGAGAAGAATACAATATAAATAAAGCTAATACCTAATTTACATCAGGCCAATCTAATATATACTAGCTAAGTACAAAGAGGCTCCAAAGAGGCCCGGAGAATAATAGAAAAGCCCAAATAACTAAGAATATCCGCAGTCCAGCGTTTTAGTCTTTATCATAACTAGTGGAAACCAACTATGTATATAAAGAAGTTATGGTACCTTTTTAGTTACATAATGTAAGGGAGAAGTTAATAGAGCTACAGAGTTGTCAATTGTTTGGCCTTTTGATGCTGCAAGAGATTGAACTCCTTCACCCCTGGTTGTTTATAATACACATTAATGTGGATTTTTGAATATTATAAGTTTCTGTTTTCATAAGGGAGTATGAAAGCTCATGTTAAGATGAAATTTATAAGGGAGTATAAATTTCATCTTAACACAATCTTTCATACTCCCTTGGTTGTTTAGAATACATCATTAAAATCCAGAGTTGTAATTTGTGTAGCCCCTTTACCATAGAGGAGTAGGAAAGCTTGTGTTAAGATGAAAATATAAGTTTCGAACCATTTCATTTTGACTTTTGAATGGCTTTTTGAGTATTGAATGGCTTGTGTAGATAGAATGTGGATTGGTTTTTGCTTGCATTTTACTTCTCTGAAAAATGTGAAATGTATTGAAAATGTTTTAACTGCTGGAGGCATGGGGGCTTAACATGTTTTGCTAATATCTGTTCAGTGTAATGGCAAATTCATCATTTTACATCTATCACGGTTTTAGCATGGTATTTCTTTTAAATTTGTCAGCATAAATATGGTTTTATGAATTGGGTTCAATTATAATAGATTCTCTTCGAGCCCGTTTGGTGACCCCTTTTTTCGGCTTATCAGGTTTATCAACCAATTTTTTCACTAAACACGTAACTTTTATTTTCGCGCGCTGAATTTTGTAATAAGCAGAAAAAGTAAGGTCGGAGTTATTTTTCTGGCTGTATTGGCTCAAGTTAGTGTAGAGAATCATTTTAGCTATTTTTCATATAATTTTTTATTTAATTTATTAATAACAAATATTTTAAATATTTTTTTTATGAATCAGCAAAATCAGTCAATACAGTCACTTCAGCCAGAACTTCATAAGTTTCGGCGAAATCAGCCAATTTTAGTGTTACCAAACAGATTCTTTATTTGTTGTTTTATTTTTTATCATTGTTTTATTACCAAACGGAGTATCATTTATTTTTTACCGAGTATCATGTTTATACATTCCAAATAGATTCTTTTATTTGTCAGCATCCCTAGTATCTAACGATGGTGTAGTTTTGGACGGGAGAGGAGGCGAAAAACACCCGAATCAACCGTCGCCGGGGACTGCAGACCAAAACACGAATCTCGATGATAGCCTTCGTCGCTTCTTCCACCCTCGTCCCGCCGCTGTTGGAAGCCATCGTTCATCACCCGTCCACCACCAATTTCCCCTTTCACGAATTCCAAATCCGCCAACGGTTCACCCTCAAATCTCAACCTGCTGGCATCATCGACCCCAGGAGAAACCTCTGCGTAGTCTATGCCGGGGAAAACAATGGCGACAGAGATGTGGCAAGCACGGAAGAGAAGGGAAAGGAAAATGGCCAGAAGAATAATATGCAGGCTACATTGAATTTGAAGTGGGTTGAGCTATTGCTAGATCCGGACCCGGAAAACATTGTGGCGGTTGGGTTAACGGGTCTGCTGGCGTGGGCGGGCGTGCAGATCTTGTGGCAGCTGTTCGTGATCTCTTTGGCGATTCTGGTTGCTGCACTCAAGTATTCCTTCATAGCCGCACTTCTCATCGTCATCCTCATCACTCTTCTTTGATCCCAGCGGAAACTCAAACTCTTCAATTTGTCATTTCTGGTGATGGAAATCCAGGCTTTTCTGCCCATGTGATGTCGTTATGCGAACCCCCACGCGTATTTACAAGTGATTGTCATTTTGATCTCAATCCAATTTGAATATTTTATCTGAATCTAGAGAAAGTGGACACAATATGTAAGAATGAATAAAATAATTAAAGTTTTCTGGTATTGTTACCCGTGCCTTGCACGAGATACACAATACGGAGTATTTCAGATTTTAAACCTTAAATAAATACTCGGGAAGGTTCTCAAACAACTTCTCACTTTCCTTTTCGGAAAGTCTCGAAATTAACTTCACGCTTCTTCTGATTTTCTTATTTGGCAAATTATGTACACCAAAACAGTGTCAAACAGTGTCAAACAGTATCCAAACAGTGTCAAACAACGCACTCCATAGTAAAATCAAATTTATTTTTTTAATTTGTGTGAAGTCAAATTGTGAAGCTCTTTGAGAACGGGAGGGAGTATCTTCATACCAATAAAAGCTTGATTTTTTCATATTGAAGAAGCTCACCACTTCATAGTATCTTCATTTTTTTTAAATACGAAGTACATTTCAATATGATGAAAATAAGCTTTAAAGCGACTAGCGTCTACCAAGGGTGTTTCTTCTAATCCACCAAAAGAATGCAACACACGGCCAATTTGCATTTACAACAACCGAGACTCGTTACTACTTCACATGTTTCTGGATGGATGGAAACTTGTATATATAGAGTTTATGGCTGAAATTTTAATCTCCTTGTGAAACTTCACATATAGAGTTTATGGCTTTATGCTTTAGAAAACCAACTTTGTTTTAGGAGTCCTAAACTCCTAATTAGAAGAAGCTTTTATGATATCCATCTGCATTTCACTAATGGTTTTAATGCCTGTAAAAGTAATGTGGCTGATGGAATTTGCTTAATTTTGAAAGTGTTGTATCCAAACAAGTGAGTGCAGAGTGAGCTACTGTGCGGGCCCGGACTGGACCGGGCCCGGATGACCGGTTCAGGGCTTTAGCCCGGTTTGGGTGGGCCTGGCGGGCCGGGCTCGGGCCTTGATTTTCATGAACCGGCCCGGTTCATTTTTTTTTGTTTTTTCAATTTTTTTCTTTTCCTTGGGTAGACTGGCCCGGCTGGATGTTTTGGAAGGTTTGAGGGGTGGGGGTGAGGGGGGGAGGGTTAATTAGAAAGCCAAAAAAAATACATTGAACCGGCCCGGACCCGGTATCAACCTGGGCCGGTTCCGGGCCCAACATTCCGAAAAAAAAAGCCCGCCCGGAGCCTGAACCGGCCGGGGACCGGTCCATGCCTAAGTTAGTACATGAGATGCGCACAGAAAGAAAAAACAATAACCCTAAATTTGAGCTTTTCACCCTGTTCATCCCATGAGATGGATGTGGTCCAAAGTCCAAACAGTGCCTATGCGGTCTCCAAAGGATAAGAGTGGAATAGTATGTGGTATAACACTTTGTAGACATGGTTTGGAGAACCTAGTTTTTTTTTGCGCCGTAGGTCACTTATGAATATACAAACTTTTTTTCACAATTTAAATATTATTATATATTTATTCCTAAAAAAAAATTATTCCTAAATAATTGTCTAGCTTTCCTAATTCACATGTTTCAAAAAATTATCTGACAATTTTGGAAAAGGAGTATACCCAAAAACTCTACATATATTTTCTCAAACTAGGCGACATATATTCCAGTTTCTAGGTTTCAACTATTTTTCACTAATACGGAAAAAAACAAATTATCACATTACAATCCCTCTAAAAAGTGGATCTCGTGATAAAAATATAAGAGGTGAAATATTAGGAAAGTGAGACATGTAAAATGGGAGATGGACTATAAAAAGGCATAATCCCAACTTGCTTTTGTGGGACTTGAATTAGTGTAATAGTCACTCAGATATGAAGTTATATAAGGACTACTAGGTGACATATAATGAAAAATGACATCAATATTACTTGATGTCATTATAAGGAATGTACTGAACTTTCTAAATGTTTTTGGAGACCCGTCTTTTTTTTGACAACCCATCTATCTCAGTACAAATCTACCTATTTTGCAGCTGGCCCAACAGGCTCATAAACTAACGGGGGCTTCCAATTCAAAGCAGTATCACATATGAACACAAATCTTGCATCTCCCTGGACCCTGAGTCTTCAACTTTTGTGTTGAAATTGAATTACATAGACAGAACCCATTCTATACCAAGTAGAAGAAAAAACTCATTCTCCCAATGCAACCAATATCTTCTTTCGAACAAGCTCAACACCCAGTCGAGGAGACAACCTAGGTAGAACTTCCTGCGATATAATGTAAAACATTATTTACATAGAAATCATAAACTATTTCAAATAATGACTTGATGATATTTTATGTCAAAAGACTGAAGAATATGAGAAAAAATCATGTACAACATGTTTCAGAAGCATTCAACGGGAAAGTCAAATACTCCGTAATATATTTATTTACATAGAACTCATAATTTATGAGTTTATGAGTCATAAACTATTCGTAGATCACACTGCAGTAGTCAGTAGTCAGTCTAAATTGGTATATATTTCATGTGACCTATAGCTCATATTGCTTTATTGTGCTTGCAATGTTTTCCGATGTATAACCATGTAAAATCACTAGTCACTGGTACACTATTATAGCAACATAAATATGTTGGTAGTATTTAACAGGGCTCAACAATGGAGCACATGTTTATCAGAGTTATATCAAGCCCACCCCTGCAGTTGAATGGAAAAATAGTACATGAGGCCCTAAGAATAGTAGATGGAGTCCCTTACAGCATCTTCAAATTCTTCCAAACCATGTAATTACATAGTGATGCACATTCTCTCCCTTGTTTTAGATGTTTTTTGTAGCTTTTCTCTCCATGATATACTACGTATGTATCATGGGTTCAACATACATGTATATAATCTAAAATTTTATAATGAATTGTTCAACATACGAAAAGTTCTAAAATAGGAGTGTAAGAGTCTTATATCCGAAAGAAAAGAGTCCTATTTTAGAAAGAAAAGATTACACTCTTAGTTAACAAAATTTGTTATGTTTAACTCCTATCTAAGGATTTTTCTTAGAATCACACAATACTGGACATTGTGCCCAACATAATACCAAGTCTAATTAATTCATAATCTATTTATTCATACCACGTCTAATTACACAATACTGGACATTGTGTCCAACATTATGGAGAATAGTTTATTAAAAAATAGATAAAAGTGAGTTATTTATTCAATTTATGTGTATTATCTCTGCGCGTTTACCAGTTGTGTTGTAAATGATCATAGATAAATAGATAGATTTAGATATGTGCAAGGAAAACATATCTTTATTGCAGCAGAAAATTTGGGCAAAGTGAAACCCCATTCAAATTCAAAAAGTCGATAATTTTTTAGGTGAAAAAGAATCCCAGGGCAAGTATGAATGCATACGAAAAATGCAGATTCATAATGGGGGGAAGTTACCTCGGTGCCATCGGGTCGGAGTTTGGCCAATACAGGAATCTCAAATTGGTAAGCCTGTTCCCAATCGGAATTGGTCGTAATATCTCTAACCTCTAAATCAAAAACGCATTCGGCGGCGGTGTTAGCGGCGTGAAGCTTTTCTTTCAGACCATCGCACAAACAGCAACCTGGCTTTGAGTACAGTATCAGCTTTCTCGAAGAAGAAGAAGAATAGGACGATGAAACTGTATGCAACCATTTACGGCGGCGATTGAAGGAGAGGAAGGTGTTTCCAGAAGCAGTTACAGTTGCTGCTTGCCTTAGTACTGCGGCACTCAGCACCGCAGCTACTGCCACCACCATATCCTTCGATCTGAACCCGAAATCACCGGAAAGAGTAGACTGCAAAGTAGACGGCCAATTTTTAGTGTTAGCCGTCTAAAAAAATAAGTGTTAGACTGCAAAGTACTCCTTCCCTCCCTTGTAACTAGACATGGACTGGGCCCAAGACGGTTCATAACGGGCTTTTTTTTTTAAACATGGGCCCGTAACCGGCCCGGGTTGGTACCGGGATCGGGCCAAACCGAGCCAGGTCAGTCCGGACCGGTCTAATGTGTGTGTGTGTGTGTGTCTATATATATATATATATATATATATATATATATAGGGAGCGGTTCTATTAAGAACGGACTCCCAGGAGAGAAATGAGAACGAATCTGGATCGTTGGATTGTATTATGTGGATCTGGATTGTGCATTTAGTGAAACTGAAATGTGCATCAAATGATATTGAAATGTGAAGAATAAAAATTTAAACTCAAGTGTGCATTAGGTGAAACTGAAATGTGCGAAATAAAAGTTACAAAAATAACATCACATCGTACCTTTTATTTTAGCACATTTTTGTTTCACCTAGTGCACAATTCAACTTCACATAATGCCACTGTATCGTATCATTTGTGCTGCACAATTCAATTTCACATAATGCACATTACAGTTTCATCTAGTGCACATTGAATTTCACTTAAAGCAAATCTAACGGTCCAGATTCATTCTCATTTCTCTCCTAAGATCATGTTCTTATTTGAACCAAAACCTATATATATATATATATATTGCTTTCTAATTAACCCCCGACCCCCCCCCTCACCCCCCCCTCAAACCTCCCCAAAACACCCAGCCCTACCCAATGAAAAGAAAAAAATTGAAAAAATGAACTGGGCCTGGCCCGGTTCAAGAAAAATAGGGCCCGAGCCCGGCCCGCCAGGCCCGCCCACACCGGGCTAAAGCCCGGAACCGGCCATCTGGTCCAGGTCTGGTCCGGACCCGCACAGTAGTGGCCGGTACGGTTCACGGCCCGGTTCGGTCCATCCCTACTTATAACTTTGCAAACTTTCATTTTTTAGTTGTCTCACTAACTTTGCTACTTTCCTTTTCAAAAAAAGAATTTGTGGTTCCTAATAATTCTCTCATCTGCACAAACCTCGATCACACTATTTTTACTTTATTATTCTACGTGTCAGTAAACTTTGGCAAAGTTTTGAGGGACAGATGGAGTATTACGTAGGAGTAGGAGTGATAGGACTTCAAAACAATGTGTAGACTCTGTTAAATATTTATACGTTTTCTATACATTTTCAAAATGTTTAGGACTAACATTTTTTGCCTATATACCTTTGGGTAATTCTTGGTGTAAATAAAATTTGTACACAAATTAAACAATGCCTATATACACAAGTATTTTGACATAAAATTCTACCTTTTTTCAAACGAATTGGCTATGTACACAAGCAACTATGAGTGTTGTTTACTAATTTTGTGTACAACTAGATTTTTCATATATCTTTATGTAGCGGGAAAAAAGCGTTTGTCAGAAAAATCAATTTTATGGACAGTAAACGTCTGCACATACAAAACATGACAATGCCAAAAAATATTACCTCATCTGTTTATCTAAGATTGTCTTATCTTTTCATTCTGTTTCATCACACTAAAATCACACTAAAATTGTCTCATATCAAATTTGGTAAAATTTATGAGATGATGATAGTATAATTTTTGTACACACTTTCAAATCATATTGTTCGGCACTAACGGTGCCAATAATTTTTTGGTCCTGACAAAAAGGGTTTAGACTATGTGAGACATTTATTCTTGTAAAAAGGGTTTTAGGTGACATTTTGTATTTGTCACCTAATTTCATAAGAAAATAATGTGCCAGAAAATGTACAGGGAGAATAAATGTCGTACATTTACCTTTTATTATAGTACAAAATAATTATTAGCAGTGTCGATGTCATACAATGTGTTTTAAAAATGTGTAGAAAAAATTAGGCTGTTTTGGGCACTCTAGCCTCATAATAATTTTCTGGGTGTAGACTATTGTCTGTAAAATTGATTTTTTTGGTTAGTGTGACAAGTTTGAAAAATGTGTACAAAAAGTATAAACGTTTAACTTGTTTGAAAATTCATTGTATGTGTGCCAGACTTTTATAATATGAACATTTTGATTTTTTCGATCGACATATTTTGCATGTGGTCCACTTTTACCGAAAAATTGCTGGTGAAAAGAGAATTATGACAACATCTAACAAATGATACTCCCTCCGTAACACTCAAATTTGTATATGTGTCGAGCATTTATTGGCTGCTATCAAATTTGATTTTTTATCGACATTTTTATCAGAGGTATAACCTCAGAGATAAAAACTATGAGTACGAAAAGTTTTTAAAACATTACATGTAGTATAATATTGTCTCTAATGATGTCAAAAGTTAACTATGTTAACTTATATTTAACCGCGATGATCACATTTACAAAAGTCAAGATAATTGATATAGGTGACATTTCAATGTGGATATTGATACGTACTATTTGAGGGAATGCAAATACGATTTCCCTTTTTCGTATTTTAATATTTGAACTAACATACAAAAGCTCATTATTATTATATACACGAGTGAGACTTATAAAAACAAAAACATAGGAGTGACATTTCAATTTGAGCATTATTTGAGACATCAAAAATGCGATTTTCTCTCTTTCTCTTTTAAGAGAATATTACCCGAAATATGACTAAACAGTTTGAAAATTCCAAAATAGGACTCTCATGTTTTTATTCCCAAAATAGGACTAATTACTGTCATGTTTTGGCAGTACTAGACTTTAAACATGGTAGTATTTTCTAAAATGACAGTAATTAGTCCTATTTTGTGAATAAAAAACATGACAGTTCTATTTTGGAATTTTGAAAATGTTTTAGTCTTTTTTCGGGAATTTTCCCTTTAATATAAGTATTATCACTAACACTTTGATACACTGATGTTATATTATAACCTTTGATAATTTCATAACATATGAGTTTGATTTGGGGGGGGGGGGGGGGTATAACACTTCTATTCAAAGATTATAACATTATTTCAAAGAGGAAATAATTTATTTATTAATGATAAAATAGTAAGAAAATAAGCAATCGGCCGGGTAGCTTAAGATTATAAATTATAATGAGAGGAGATACAGAATTGAAAGAAGTCCGGCGAAGATGAAGAATACCCAACATCTATACAGAATTGCCATTTTTTTCTTTTTTGTTTGGAAGAAGATGAGAGATAAAGAGAACGGAAGGAAGGCGAGACTGCCGGGATCTGACTCTCATCGGCGCCGGGGCCCTTTTTCGTACACAAGCACGCCAACAATAGTGCAGATAAGTAGAAAAAAACATCCAAGAGCTACGCCTATTATTAAGTCTCCGGAATTATCATCAGACGATGAAGATGGTGGAGATGCTCCCATGGAAGAAGGCTCTTGAGCAGCACTCAATCCGCCTGAGACATTACTAATAAGGCCTACAAACGTGCTAATTGTAAATAATGCGGTGAAATCTGTTTTCATTTTTTACTTCGTCTATGCAAGTATTTTCATAATCTACCACCATATATACACCCTAATGAACTTTGTCAAGTTTGACCGACACGAGAATTAATAACATAAAAACTGTGTTGTTGAAGTTTGAGTAAAGGATAAAGAATTATCTGACAAAGTTAATGGGACATCCAAATAAGGAAAGTTGACAAAGTTTAAATGGACGGAAAGAGTACTAGGAAATAACTTTTACACTCTATCTAGGAAATACTCCCTCCGTCTCACAATGAACTTCACAGTTTGACCTACACATATTAAGAAAATAAACTTATCATGAGATAAATTTTACTGTTTTGACACTGTTTCGACACTGTTTGGCACTATTTTGCATTGTTTCGACACTGTTTGACATTGTTTTGCACTGTTTGAAACTGTTTCGATGTAGATTAACTTACCATTTAAGGAAATGAGAATTTGTTTCTGGGACATCCAAAAATGGAAAGTGAGAAGTTCATTGCAGGACGAAGGAGTTAACTTTTTCACTTTGACTTGCAACATTTTATTTGAAAGCTAAAGCGAAAAATTAACTTTCAATCGGTACTCCTACTTTATGTCAAATAAAATAAAAAAGTATAGATTGTGTAGATACTAAGAGCCCGTTTGGTGAGCCCCTTTTTCGACTTATTAGGTTTATCAGCCAGCTTTTTCACCAAACACGTAAATTTTGATTTCACGCGCTGAATTTTGTTATAAGCAGAAAAAGTAAGGTTGAAGTTACTTTTCTGGCTGTATCGGCTGAAGTTACTGTAGAGGACCATTTTAGCTATTTTTACATATAATTTTTTCTTTATTTTATTAATAAAATATATTTTAAATTCAATTTTTTCATGAATCAGCAAAATCAGCCAATACAGCCACTTCAGCAAGAACTTCATAAATTTCAGCAGAATCAGCCGATTCAGCCGATTTCAGTGTTACCAAACGGGCTCTAAGTCTAGCTTTTGTTTTTGAAAAGTTATTTCTCATAAAAATGAAAGGTTTATTGTAAAGAAATTGTCCTAAATATGAGAAAACGTTTTGTAATTTTAAAATAAGACTGATATGTTTTTCTTGTCGAAATATGAGTCGTTATTGCTATCATTGAAAATATTGTCGGCAGTGAATATACATTGTCATATTATGTCTAGTTCTGCAAATATTTTCACAATAATGACTCCAAGATGATATTTAATTCTATCATATCACTTCTATTTCTGAAAAAATATAACAGTTCTATTTTGAAATTTTAAAACTTTTTTACTCTTACTTTGAGAATTTTCACTTTATTTTAAAACATTTAAATAAATAAAATGAGAAGTTATTTTGAGAACTAATGTGATATGTCTTTTTCCCGAATAACATCTCTAACCTATATAGTATGTGTGAAATAATAAAATTTCTAATTCTTGACTTGAATTAAACTCCAATCTTAACATCTACTTTGGGAGGAAACCGCAACACCATCAAATTATCAATGTGCTTGACATATGTCATTATTTTCAAAAAAATCACTTCATACGAGCATATAATAAGGGCAAGAGAATCGATCATAAATTGGAACGGAGAGTATAAGCTAAAGAAAAA